GAGTACAATACAGTGCACAACCCAGTTGGCGGGCGTTAAAACAACGTTCGTTAATAGAACGAACTTTATTTTGCGAAACATTCTACAGGAGAACTCACTTCTGTACTCTAAAGCAACTGTTCGATCAGCATTAAACGTAACATTGCCGAGGCTAAACTGGGAAGAAACTGCTGGAAATATAAAGTGGGGCAAATCAATTAAGCGGAATTTCTCAAGCTGGAGTAAAAGTTTCGAAAATGAAAACTAAAATTCAACCCCTTTGTAGCAAGAAGCTACAAGGGAAACGTATTTCTTCGAAAGAACAGCTTTCCATTTGACGAAAAATTCGCCCTGGTCCATGTCCAAAAGAGGTAGCTCGGTGCCTGTCCGGGTCGCTTGCACTAGCCTTTAGGCTAACCAGCAGGATAGTAATGGGCAGCCAGGGGTCGTATTAATCGACAACATGAAGCACGTGGGCACCCAATTGGACAAATCACTTCCCATATGGGTATTTTGAGCTTTTTAGTGCTAGCATGTCAGATTGCAAATATTACGGGCTCACAGATCATGGCTGTGGTATTCTGTGGTTGCGGGAGGCGTACCGGGCGAGCACGAAAGAAGCAGAAAAAATATTACGGCATTTTCGCACTGTTGGTGCCAATCTTGAAGCACGTGCGGAGCTGGCCAGCCTTCTTTCTTTCTCTTAGGTTGTCTCCTTTTTTTCCGTACACTTCCAATTCTTAACACGAAAGTGTTCTATGCCGGCGTCGATCTACCACAGCTACGCTGACGTGTTTCCGTCACGGATATGACATTGCAAAATATATACCAATCGATCCAGAAACAAACGAGAAGTATGAGTTCTTTAACGGGATGCGAACCAGTGACCTCCCAATCCGCAGCGCGCGGCGCTAATCACTAGGTCACGAAGCGTACCGTTGTCAAGCATGCTAACAGCAAGCGATTTTATATACGCCGTGTACCATTTGGCGGTTCACAGAGGGCGGAACTTCAGTGCGTTTTAGTCATCAGTGGCGACATGACATAAGTGGCTCGCACTTCGTTTAGCGTTTGGCGTGCTCCAAAATGCGTCTCCTCTAGCATTTCGGTAAGCGCCGCCTCCGCGGAGCGTGGTCGGTCCTGTGCGCGCACTTAACGGACTCGTCATTCGGGCGAGCACAAAGGTTACTTCGCTTGCTGCCGCGGCTGCGTTTACAAAAGAGCACGCTGCTCATAAGCGAAAAAGTTAGAATTGGTACACTTTGGTCGCGCTTGTCCTGCGCATATTTGTGCGTTCGTTTGTCGTATCGTTCTTTCTGTTTGCACAGCGCACTTTGAGTGACGTGCTGTGAAAGTTGTTAGTTCTCGCCCATTCTGTGTATGCTCATTTCCAGCGTGCTTTCTGCTTGTGGTGTGCGCTGCTAGTTTCGAGCTGTTTGCCGTCCTTTGCGTGACTTCCCAATTTGTTGCTGTAGCATTCATTACTTCGCCATTGTAGAGAAACAATGCTCAATAAATGCTTTACTTTTTCTCTGTGAAGACACGTTTCGTTTGCGTGTTGTATCAATTCCTAGAAAGAGGGATCAGTCCCGTTTTTTTTTCCTTCCAATTTACGGTTCTTTCTCTTCTCCCTCTTAATTTTTGTTTATTTCCACTTTTCTTTTTCTATTTTAATCTCTTTTTTTACAGTTGTTGTTTCTTGTCTCCTCTTTCTAAATTTTTATGCGTGGTTTGGCCTGTGTCACGCCAAGCCAAGACGATAGCGTACGACAACTGCATACGACAGTGTACGACATCCCGAGCAGCTGAAGTGCTCCACATTTTATAACAGTTACTGCGGTGTTTCTTGTCTCCTCTCCTGCTTTTTCTCGTACTTTCTCGATACGTACGCCACCCGTTCGCTATGAACCAACTAGCCTGCAAGGAGTTCTTGTATGGTTGCGCAATCACTTCCTGCATATATGCAGCCTACAACAACAAAAACAACAATGATTGTATTATTATTATTATTATTATTATTATTATTATTATTATTATTATTATTATTATTATTATTATATTATTATTATTATTATTATTATTATTATTATTATTATTATTATTATTATTGTTCAGGGTTTTACGCCCCATTACCAACACATGATTATGAGAGATGCCGTGAAGGAGAGCACCGGAAATTTCGACCATCTGTTGTTTTTTAGCATACACTGACATTCCACCGTACACAAACAAGCCTCTGGCATTTCACTTCCATTGAAAAGCGACCGCCACAGCCCGGCAAAAAAACCACGACCTTCGGATTAGTATATACAGTCGATCAGTGTAAATGCTATACACCGCCACGGCGGACAGCCTACGAAAATGATCGTAGCCTTGAGACCTCGCTGCTTCGCTCGGACGAAAAAATTTCTGAGATATGAATTTTCTACGTAGCCTTCAGATTCAAAGTTAAAGACAAGGCCAGCAGAACGTTTGCATTTATGGAAGTCCATATGCTGACTTTCATTCAAAAAGCATGTCCGTATTCTGGCTTTGATTCAAACAGATTTCATCAGTTCCATTGCAGGTCTATGTATTACCGTTTGAATTATGTTATTGTTCACCGTTTCGTTCGTTTATTTGAGCTTGTGTAACAAACACCTTCACATGTGCAAACAGGATATTAACTTTTAGGCACGAATCACCTCAAAGTCGGGGCTCTTCCGTAGTCGCGTCGTAGCTGCAGCCGCTATAGTGCTCAAGCACCCACTCGCACATACAAATCAACTTGCCAGCTTGCTCTTAGCCACTTCTTTGTAAACACTCTTGACAGAGATCTGCCTCGCGGTTCCCATCTCAAACTGGGACTGATGCCAGTTCAGCATGTGGAAGGCCTCTTGTGTACCACGCGTGTTATCACTAAAAATATTAAACCGCTGGCGGCAATAAAAGGCTAACATGAGCATTTGAATTCGTAGAGAACGTAGCCATTATGCGCTGGGCAAGCGCCATTGCACTATGTTCGATCGCGTACTAATAAATTTCAGAAACCACCGCTTCCTGACATTCGTGTGCAGTGCATGCTCTCTGCAGTGAGGATATTGTGAAATGTTATTCGGAGCGTCTGCTCGTACTGTCTTCCCACGCGTTTTGTTGCCTCAAACGGTGCTGCACATAACTGTCTATCGATACTGTTGAAAACGAAGCTTAGGTTTGTCTTTTTTTTTTTTTCACTGCTGGCAACGAGCTGCCCGTGACGTGCTCCGACAGCCGCCACCGAGGGCGGAATTAAGGTGCAGAAGGAAGTCTGGGAGAGGAGAGCACAATAAATAACGGAGACGAAAAGAAAAGAAGGAACATGGAAAGACTACTACGGGCAGATTAAAAAAAAACGGAGGAAGAGGAGTGAAAACTGTCGCACCCGAGTAACCGACGCGAGACGCGCTAAATATACGCACACACCCGCTTCACAGCCACCGCTGCAGCAGCCGAGGATCAACTGGAGGCGAGCCACCGAGCACAGAGCTAGCGCGAGCCAATGTCGAACGTGCCCGCATGATTATCGCATTTTCGCAATCACGTGCCTATCCCACATGAAAAGCACTGGCACTTCCTTTACGCAGGATGTTCTTACATTTGCGTACGAGGTACCGCCTTTACGCAGGGTGCACACAATATACGGAGATGCCCAAAAGGGAAACATAACCGCTCGGAGTCGGCGCGCACGTGCAACGCGACATCAACTCCAAATTTAGGCAACGTGACAGTCGCAAGAGCTCAACCCTTCGTTGAAAGCATCAAGTCTAAGTAGCGATTTTCGATGGGTCGATCCATCTATCAGCAGATGCCCACATCTCTTAATGCTGTGCCCAGTTGTACTTGGGTCAGGTATCCTCTTCTAGCTGCGTAACAGTGAAAAATAAAGTAACTCTACGACAACTTAGTTTTCATATTCGTCGTATAAAGCTGACGACCACCTACTTCGTACCAACGATTTGCCACCGTTATCGCCATCTATACGTTATCACATAAGTGAATTTGCTGAGCAACTTCATAGCCATTTCGTTCACTGTACTTTATTTGCCTTACTTTGCAACCGCTCGAAGTGAAGTTTACTTCAATCACTTCAGTCATCATTTTTCTGCAAGCCATGAAGTTCTTCGTCCAAAAACACGTAGTGCGCCTCTTATTCCATACAACACTGGGCCGCAAGGCAATCAGCTTGAGTACTCCTCCACTCTGTAATCTTTCTCTACTAGTGAAAGTACTGAAATTAAACTGTCAGATTCTTATGTTTTTTATGCGTAAAATAAAGTCAAGAACCATGGAGAGCATTGAATGCATATCCTTCTGGCTGTCAGGCTTGTTTTCAAATGGCGGCATTGCGAGGCCAAGTTTATTCGCCATACTGAACACCCCACATCACAGATAGATAAGGCACCGCAGTGACCCTGCATGGTGAACGGAAGAATTCTGCAAGATTTTGTCCCTTTTGAAGTTTTGATCTGAAGGTGGTAGAATCGCGACACATGCTGTAGTGTATTTTCCGGCAACCGCTACTAATCGCCATTGCCACGCCACCCGAATCATGAATGAGCACCGGAAATGAAGACGGTTGACGAAATTCTGCGACTGATCCTATCGTACCACGGGCTCCTTTCTAACTTACAGAAAGTAAATGATGATAATCCGTGCCGATGATGATCTCCTGATACAATGCGAATGACAATGCGCTTTTATATGTGGCCTCGTGGTTTTATCCCCGTTCTACTATGCACGTGACACACAAACATGATTTCGCCCGTAACTTCAGCTATATGGCCAGTATGGCCATCACTCATATACCCGGATGCTTGCTCGATCAATCGTTCAGACACACTTGGCACACATCGTACACCACACAAAACGTCCAAAGGCTCTTTCGGTGAGCTCCATTTTATATACAGGTTGCACTGGGCCTTGGATGGATGCTAGTTCGCCTCCTGTAGACGAGTGAAAACTCCTGAACAGCGTCTCTTCTGTGGGCCACCTTCGCCTTGCAGTTGTGCAATCGACCTCGACCTAGGTCGCTTCGGCAACTTGCGTGGAAAGTCATCCTGCGAGACTCCGAGGGCCGCCTTAACTCTGAGTCACTGAGCGAGAATAAGCGCCGACCCGACCTTCTTCACTGTCTCGGCATTTCGTTCGGCGTTGCCAAAGACGTAAAGATGGCGAGGGCTGACTGATGGGGGCGCGGATCTCTGACGACATGTTGTTGCAATCAACACAACGCAGCGTGAAACACAGGCCGTGAGCTTTCGGCGATTCGTTATCACTGACACCGTGGTCCTAATGGCCACCTTCGTAGTATAGCTTCCGGCATGTATAAACGGTGGTTTCTTACGACGGTTTAAAACTGATGTTGGTAGAACATACCTATTCTGCGTGAGCACGCAAGGTGAGTATTCATAAGAGTGGAAATTTGGGGTCTATCTTACCATAGCAACAAAGCTACTGAGATTTTTTTAGTTGAGTCTTAGAAAGAAACGAGAGTTTTTGAGATGAGAACTCCTACGGGTTTCCCTAATGGCTTCCAAAGTCACACAAAAATGTTTCACCAAGCCTATTTTTACGTTTCATTCAACACGCCTAGTATAAGCACCACAGCTGGTACTTGCATGACTTATGTGGTCACAGCAAACCTAGATTTTTATTGTCGAATGAACCATGAACCAGAAAGAGTGGGTAAGCACCTCTCTACGTTAAATTTCCACAATTTACCGCAGGCTCATGAAACTTTCAGATCAGCCAACGCTCAGTTGACAATATGGTTGACTGCGAGAACACAGGTGCTGCAGTGCAGAAAAAAAATTTGCAGTGGCTTAGCACGGCTACGCCAACACATACGTGGCGTGAGCTATAGGGATGGACACACCAGGATGGACGGATGAATGGACGAACCACGGATGGATAATATATGAACGAATCACGGATAAATGGACGGGCCATAGATGCACCAATGGGTGCACGGGCGGCCTAGCAAGCGACCGATTTCCCGCCAATCAAGCGCTAGACTTGTAATGCCTCGTCACCTTTGCAGTTACCAGGCCTTGTCCGGACCGCCAGCTGCGTGCCGTGTGACGTCACAGCTCTTCGCGCCAGCACAGAACTGCTCAGCGTAAGCCTCACGAAACTTATCAACCTCGGACAGCGTAGATTACAGTACAAAAAAATGGAATAGTGTAGTCACTACCATCGTAGACAATGAGTCCTGCAGCTGTAGGATGTGCTTCACACCTCCCGTGAAGGCTTATGGTGACTTCCATTGCGAGAGCAGGATCATTGAAAAGCACGCTGAAAGCGCTCTGTATATAGTGGGCGTGTTTCGGTGGTCGAACAGGAGTAAGGACACTGTCATTCAGTAGTAGAACGAGGTCGCTTTTGCTGTGCCGGGAGCAGCCAGGAGCAGTTTGTAGTGCTCTCGCCTGAAAAGCGGAGTTGGCATGGATTAGGCACAGTCAACGAGAGTCACGTGACCTTGAAAAGTCGTATCCTCCTGGTTTTTCTTCAGCCGACGAGTGCGGTGGCAATGGTAGCAGCCATGTGCAGTTTGGCAGCGTTGTTGGCTGCCATTTGTACTCGTGGTGTGGGGTGGCGACAATGACAGCTGGACGTCTGCTGAATGCGTGGTTGCGCAAACATACTGCGCATTAGGATAATGATGAGCATGCGACTGACAGATTTCACGCGTACTGCAATGCTGCTCCACACAGAATGGTGGGGCTTGGAGTGTTTCGATCGCATGGTCTTCCTACTCGTCACCCCCTCACCTGCTCTCCGCATGGTGTACCACAATCCAGTGGCAGATCGAGTGGCTCTGCTCTCAGTGCTCCGCCCCCTTCTCCTCACTGCACGACACCTTTAATCCTGTTGCCTCATTGTAATTCATCAGTAGATCCAACCGGCCTCATGAGTATACATGGCAAACACCCACAACATCATGGCAGCCCCGCCGCGGTGGTCTAGTGGCTAAGGTAGTCGGCTGCTGACTCGCAGGTTGCGGGCTCGAATCCCGGCAGCGGCGGCTCCATTTCCGATGGAGGCGGGAATGTTGTATGCCCATGTGCTCAGATTTGGGTGCACGTTAAAGAACCCCAGGTGGTCGAAATTTCCGGAGCCCTCCACTACGGCGTCTCTGATATTCATATGGTGGTTTTTGGGCCGTTAAACCCCACATATCAATCAATCATCAACATTGTGGCATACCTCTTTCCTCGGAAGAATTTATGGGAAGTGTTTCGAGCGAACACTTGTAGCAACACTCTGGAAGCCTCAAGATCGCGAGTTTTTAGCCTATAGTTGCTTTTTTTTTTACGACACGCACTCACTCGTGCCATCATATCTGTATCTCCTTGGTGCCTTGTGTGCATCTCTTGCACGTTGTAATGAACGCAGAATCAACAGCGTGAAGCCTTTTAGCACCAATTTCTTGGCGTAAGCAGTGACAACAACGAATGCCTTTGTGTAATCCACCAATATTTTCTGAGTGATCCCCCGTTCAGACGGTAGTTCGTTCATTAGATTATCGCAACTTTCAGCCGTTCTCTTAACTTCCTCCAGCGGTGTAAGCATCCGTTTTCCGCCTAGGTAGACGTGCACGGCAACAATGAGAAGTTATCACAATCGTATCGCGTTAGAGAGGGAACACAGCGGGTGCAGAAAAAAGGCGACACACAGCGGAGCGAGCGAGCCCTTGCCGTGACGTCATTTAGCCCCGACTGCCGCGCCACCAGTGTTCCTTCACGGGGCTCGCGTTTTGCTAACGTAGAGTCACTGCGTCCAGCATGTACGTTCGGCGACGTTACGTCGGAGTACATAGGCCAGAACGCGCAAGGGCGTTCTGGTAGTGCTTGTGACATCTGTTGCGCATGCGCAGTAAAGGTGATCGCACTGCCCACCACCGGATTGAACTGCACTATAAGGTGCTCCGCATCTAAAGAGCACGCACAAATTCGAAAGTGTTGAGGATGGCCAGAAAATTTCCATGTAAATGCGTCAGCGAAACATCTCTATCGCCACGTGGTCATGACTCTTATTGAGCACGCTGCTTTGATCCAGGAGTCAATATTGTGTGGATTCACTACATCAATTCATGATTTCCATTCATCCTGCATACTCCTGCACTCGTGTCTCATCTGAAGCGCTTTTTTTTATTTCAACATACTGCAGGCTTTTCACGGCCCATGCAGGATTGAAGACAAAAATATACATACTAAGCATCGAAAGGAAATGCATACCGCAAGAACAAGAAAGATGATACAGTGTCAAACTGCTCATAATTCAAAATGTACTAACTGAATTATGTTCATAAATGATTGAATAGTGTTACAGCACACAATGTTGTTGACTAGTCTATTTCAATGGTGAATAGCTGACGGAAAAAGGGAATGTTTGTGAGCATAAACACGACTGAAAGATTGGTGGATAGTTTTTAAGGTCACCTAATTTGTGATATCTGCAAGACTTTTTGTTTCTACGACGAAACTTTGCTAGAGAATTGATTACAAATACTTCTGACACAATATTTGACCAGCGTAACGGGATGCATTGTTGCCCAGGTTGGGCATGAGCCCCGCACGTGGCAGTAAGTAGGTAGCTTGTGCTGCAACCAGGTGATTCGGTAGACGTAACTAATGAGGGCCTCTTGCCATCAAGAGGGACCGAATCGGGCATGTTTCTTCTTTAAAGGCAACTGGTTGCAGCTTGAACACGACACAAAAGCAAAAGAGAACTCCGACACTCCGTGTGTCGAACTCGCGCTGCAACCATGGTTGCTTCTAATGTTCTAGTACAAACAAGCCCACTTTGTGACTCTCGCTGCTTGTACTGTAATAAATAAATTTCCGCACAACCAAAATCCCGTAGTATACGGAAGCTTTTTTATGGAACCTTGAAGTGTCCGCGAGGTCTAAACGAGGCGGGGATTCACGGCAGGGGTGAATGGACGCACACAAAAGCGATGAGCAGTACGAGTGGGAAAGAAGGGAGAAGCTAGTTGTTGCAAGAACATGTGCGAGATGATGCCCTGAAATAGACGCGAGACCCTAGCGGAGGAGGATGTTTGAGGACTACCTCACCTGCTGGGCGCAGCTATGTTTACTGCGAGCCGCTCGTAAGCTCTGACTAGAGGGAGGCTTTCAGCGGCGAACGAAACAGAGCGGACACTTATTTCCGCGCCGGTTTGTTTAGGTAGCATCCCGCGTCGCGTTGCCCACGCTTTCCAGATGAGAAAAGCACGAGAGCTGCTTGTGAAAACTGGTGATTCACTAAGAAAACGTGCATCTTGAAGCAAATTACAGAAAAAAAAGAAGAGAGAACGTACAGGAACGAAGAAAGCAGTTTTTTTTTTCGTGCTTTACTTCGAAATTCGCTTTTCCCAACTTACCTGTAACCAACTTACCAACTGAACTTAAAAGTTCATGTTCCTTTAATTTGAAGGAGATCAGTAGGAACGTTCCAGGGTTCACAGCCCAGTAGATGAACAGAGAACCATACAGCATGGCGTCGAAGTGCGCTGGGATCTTGGCTAAAAGACCGTACGGAGTTCGGAGAATGCGTGGTGTGACCACATCGCGGTCGTATAGCAAGTTGGCGTCTAAAACACGCGCGTAATGACGTGTCTCCCGTTCTGAGGATTTCGTTTTCTCATAGCATAGCATTCTCGTTGTGGAAGGGGTTCACCACGCTTTTTTCGCGGGAAATGTCTATGCCTGCTTCTATAGAAGCCGCCATGGAGGAGCGAGCGCAATTTGAGTAATTCTACTGATTTGAGCTCCGAGGATGAAAGATGAAGATGTCGATGGTACGAAACTTATGAAGTAATAAAAAGCAGAACAGTCAACGGCAGGGGGTCCAGAATGATGGAGTGGAAAAGTACTCGCATGGAGCAACGAGGACGAAGATAGAAAGGGAGAAGGCGTAAACAGAGCACATTAAGCAGAACACGCGCGCACACTCAATAGCAGGACTAACAAGAAAGGCACTTGCTTGCTCTCAGTGATGTGTACCTTTATTATTGTGATAGCAATTATACGGACACTCTCGGCTGATTTTCTTTGTCGCCGTCATGTCCCGGATATGTATATGTCGAGGATTCG